GCTGGCTGAGGAATTCTGGGAGTTGAAGTCCACAAGTCTTAAAGTTGCCAAGGTTGGACACCCCTGTTCTAAAGCATGGAAGGAGGCTGATAAAAATGCAAGATTTTCACCACGTGTATAAGCCCTATGCTTTGATAGCTGTGAATGAATTCCTCTGCCTTGTACTGTGAGTAATATACTGTTTAAATCCAGCAGGTTTGTGAGGCATTTGTTCCATAACGGTGTGTTTTGGCATTGTGTGATTTGACTAATTAAGTGTATTCATTTGCTTATTAAGCTTTCAAGTCTCAGTAGGTAATGAGTCACGCAATAAATATGCTGAATGCTGTATACTTTTTATTCAGCTGAGGGAAAATAATGCCATTTCAGATAATTGGTGTAGTGATAAGGCACTGATATATGCAGCTCCTATTTTCATTGGGGTAGCTGAGAAGAAAATAATCATTATTTGTAATGGGCCCAACTATGGACCAGACCCAGCGTGGGATACCGTGCATCAGTTTTGCAATCTGAAAGCCACGTAGCCTGCATTTCATTGCTTCATCAGTTTTGTGCATGTGCAAGTTCCTTCTATGCAGACTTTATGGAACTAAATTGGATTGAAAATAGCAACACTGTAGACTGAAAACATTTCCTTTGGTAGAACCCCAGTGTATAAACATTTCTGCAGATAATAAGGTTAAACATAACAAGTGGCCTGATTTAACACAAAGGGTAGATTCAGAGTCCCCCTTTTTCTGAAAAGTTCAGTGAAATCTTTCTTTCAGCTTTAGATTCAGCCAGCCCAAATGTTCTGGTTAATCAAGGTGCAGGAAACTGTGTTCAAAACAGGAGGATAATATCATTAACCATTAAGATAGAATTTTACCTCCTGGAGTCATCTTTGCAATGTCAGTGCAAATAGAAGCAATAACTGGAATACAGAATCTAATTCCCTTTTATTCATAATTCGGTCGTGTAATATATTTTATTCAAAGATTATAATTCTCAAAATTATAAGTCAGCATTCCAGTTTAAGTTTCTCAGCCAAAGCCTACTGTTTCCTTCCAAGCTTCTTTGCAAATGTGATTCTGCCAGAAAGACTAAAACCAAAGAATTCATGAGGATTATTCATTCATGTCTATAGTACTCAAAAGGAAAATACAGTCAAGTTAATGTAAATATTATAGGACTGGAATATGCTAATAATATGGAATATGCTAATAATGAGTGACTACAAAAGAGAACAAGACTTTTCAGTGCCTTGACTACAATTATTCATGACTCCTCAAAACAAAGCATACTTCTTGAAATTCCATTTATTAAACAGTCTGTCCACTTGTGCATGACAGTGCAAAGTGGTTTGAGATGGCAGCTACCATAACATCTTTGTTTTGGTTTTGGAACAGTTTGAGGGTTCAGCAGTCTTTCTCACCCAATTATATTTAAATAAAATTAAATGTATTTTCCTATGACATAATTACCTTTTGAAAATAAATTTTAAAAATTTCCAGTGATTTAGAAAAAATCAGTGCTGATAACTGCCATGCAAATCTTTATTCCAGAAACCCTAAAAGCAGCTGATGTAAAAGTAAAATAAAGATTACCCACTCACCTAAAGGAGATCGTTCTACTTTGTCTATTTTTTGTTACGGGTAGTCCTTGACTTACGACCACAATTGAGCCCAAAATTTCAATTGCTAAGCAGGACATTTGTTAAGTGAATTTTGCCCCACTTGTGCAACCTTTCCACCAACAGATGTTAAATAAATAATTGTGACGCGTTTGTTAAGTGAATCTGGCTTCCCCATTGATTTTGTTTGTCAGAAAGTTGCAAAAGATTAATGACTCGGGACACTGCAACCATGATAAACACATGTCAGTTGCCAAGAATGTGAGTTTTGATCATGTGACCACTGGAATACAGGTAGTCCTCAACTTACAATAGTTCATTTAGTGATTGTTCAAAGTTACAACGGCCCTGAAAAAAGTGACTTTTGACCGTTACAACCTTTGCAGCATCCCCATGATTGTGTGATCAAAATTCAGATGCATGGCAACTGGTTCATACTTACAACTGTTGCTGTGTCTCAAGGTCATGTGACTTTCTGACAAGCAGAGTCAATGGGGAAGCCGGATTCACTCAACAACCAGGTTACTAACTTATCAATTGCAGTGATTCATTTAACAACTGAGGCAAGAAAGATCGTAAAATGGGACACTCACTTAACAAATGTTTCACTTAACAACATCAATTTTGGGCTCAATTGTGGTCGTAAGTCAAGGACTACCTTTACTGCAATGGTTGTAAATGCAAAAAACAGTCATAAGTCATTTTTTTTTTACTTAACAGTCATTTTTTTCAACGCTTTTGTATTGAATTTTGTATTTTCCTTTGTGAAGCTTCACTGAAATAATACCCAAACCAGCAGTGCACGTTAGACCTTTATGCCTGATCAGAATAATAGGATTCTGTGAAACAGAGAAAGTATAGTAGGTGCCATTTAGGGCTTCAAGTAGCTAACTCCTAATATCTGAGATGTGTGCATGCAAACTAAACATTGTAATGTTTTCACTTTGCAGGATATCAGAGAGCAATTGAGGCAGGCAGGAGGAAAATGTTCTACCTTTCTCATTCATATGCAAAGATACATTTTGCCTTTCCCGCGGTTTGAAAAAAAAAGAGTTTTGCACAAGCTTAAAGTTGGATTCTGTTTTGAAAGTTTGCTGTTTTTAATTTTACAACGTTTTAGCCAGGGTTATTGTAAATTTGTCACGCATTATTTTATACTTCTTTATATCTCATTGATTCATAACAAGTTCCTTCAGGAGTCTGAAATTTTAAATTTCAGCTGTTAGAGAAAACAGTAAAATAGTTGGCAACTGCCCTTACATTAAGGCAATTTTATGATTGATTGATCAATTGATTAAATTTTTATGCTGTCCATCTCGCCTACAAGGTGATTGTTTTGCAGCAATATCTCCCTCTTCAATGTCAGGCGCTGCCCTTTGGTCTTGGGTCCTAATATACTAAATCAATTTAGTATATTTTTGCTTTGGAGTCCTTGGTGGTCTCTCAGTGTGGTTGTTTGCTTGCAAGCATTTCATTACCTGGCTAGATAACATCATCAGTCCTAGTGAGTGTGAGGTTTGCTCCCTTTTTATATGTGGTAGTTTGACCTGCCAGGTGTAATTTTTTTTCCTTGGTAGTTCTTATCACAAACTATAAAGGAGAAAACCATGCACACACCACCAATTCTGGCAGGACCACTGCATATAAACAGGAAGCAAACCCACAGATGCTAGCACTGATGTTACCCAGTTGGATAATGAAACATCTGTAAACAACAATAAAGCTTAGAAAGCACCAGACTCCATTGTTCAACTCTGGGTTACAGATATTATCTTCCATTGAAAGCGTTGCCTTTACAGGCTGACTCAGGTAGACAGGATGTGAGGCAAAGAGAGATGTATGAATGATTGGAGGGCTAGTACACCTGAGTAGTGATGGTTTAATGGCTAGCAGCTGTATAGATTTGGGCTTTTGCTATTCCTTGATTGGTATCCAGTGATTTGCACAAAATCGTTTCTTGCACTATTTGAAAGCAGGTTTCTTATCATCCAGTAGATAAATAGCAATTACCTATTTTTATAGCATTCAACAATAAAATAGAGGGTATGTGCATGCCCTTAAAACCTGGATTGAATTCAGCCGCAGTCTTCTTACTCATTCCTGATTAGACAGCTGTGGCCTTTTCTGAGACAGGAAGTTTAATCAAATTACCCCAGTGAGATTTCATCATTCCATGTATATGTTTTACAGACAATT